CACGACAACCATCGTGGTGGACGCTGTCATAACACAATATCCAAGTATACCACCGTGTATGAAGATCGCACAAAAAATCGCCGCGTATCGACTAAATTTTGCGTACTTCAGCATGACTTCTTTCTTCTCCTTTCTCGTCGTCGTTCTCCAATCGGTCTCCATATGATTGACAAAGTGATGTATGGTTTTACGTCGCAGCAACAGCATGGTGTAACTGATGATACAGAACACCCAGTGGCTCAACGGACCGAGTATTTTCACTTTCGTGTAGAAAGTCCCTTTTTCCAGCATTAGGTGCAACGAACAAGGGATTATCGAGAATAGTATTGCGGTGTAGCAGATCACGTTTAATATTCGAGAGATGTTTCTCTCGAGGTTCGACGAGAACTGTGGCCATGTGCCTATGCTTTTCATCGCCCATCGATTCCACTGGAGACTGTAATCGCTGCTGGCAGTTATATTGATTTCTGTGACCACGGTTTTGTCGTTACTCATCGTGACCACGCATCGAAGTTACGGTGACTACTAAATCGAACATCCTGTACGAGGAATTACCCTTCCACGGAGTTGTTTAACGCTTGCGCAGATTTTTCATCGGAACGACTGTTCGCTGATCGTTTCATCTGTTTGTGTGGAACTTGTTGCGGTGATGTGTACGTGATCGAGTATGTTTGAAAGTTGTCATTTAACCGTCGTGAGAATTGGAAGGTGTGCACGGGATAGAGTAGACCTTCGTGAGAATTGGAAGGTGTGCGCGGGATAGAGTAGACTTTCGTGATGTTCGCTTGAGTATTTTTTTTACTCTGTAAGCGGAGGATGTGGGGAGGGATATTGCAAGGGTGAAGATCCCATTGCTGGTTGGGAAACATTTTTCAGGAGAGTGGTAATGAGAATGCTGTAGTAACGTGAACGAAACCATTTTTGTAGTAGTGTTATTTTATTAGGTCATCCGGTAAGTGTCTGTCGAATTTTATGATTTAGATCGATATTTCCGAGGGACCTTTAAATTAGATGAAAACTTCTCATTCCACAATTTTGTCCTTTGTTTGTTTGGTCAGACTGTTATGTCGTTTCTACGGCATTTTCTTGGAAAATATTTTTCACTTTCGGTAGGAACTTGTGGGACGATTCAGTATTATTAATTTTGCGATTTTTTTGCTGTATTGTGAACTCTATAGGTTCGAATTAGGGGCGATTAGCTGGATTAAGAGTAGCAGTTGCAAGTCTGGAATAGATGATTGGATGTTGGTGAAATTTGTGGAAGGAAAGTGAACCATATGGATGCGCGAACGTTATGTTAGGAAGGCTACATTGTTCATATGTGTGGAATTTTCGCCCTTGTGTGACTTTTACAGTTCTAGTATATCACCGTGAAAATTAATTTTTATCTGTGGAAGTTACTCTTACGAATAATTGTTATCCCTATTATACTCAAGAGGGTTGTAGCTTTAGAGGTAATATTTTTTAATGCAACAGGTTGTTCGTCTAATCGTATACGAAAAGTTTGGTGCGGTGGACGCAGGTGAAAAGTTTAGACTGTAAAGTTCAGAGGCTAAGAGACACGCTGCTTGTGAACGAATTACATAGTGGTGAGTAAAAACAAACATTTATTCTTTCTCGTCTCTTTGTTTTCTGGTGTGTAATGAGTCTAGAATAGGAGTTCGTACAAAATGGTATTTTTTTAGAGTATGTGTAGTTTTTCACATTGCAACTGTGCGGATCATGTTGAAGTAGGCGAAAGACGCTTTAAATACCTGAAAGACGGTGTGCGTAAATATGTTTAATCGAAAGTTGCGAATTGTAAATTTTTCTTATTAATACTCACATCGCCAAATGTTGCGACAGACGATGTTCAGTATACGAATTTTCCAGCGGTGATTTTTATCACCATGCTCGATCTGGAGATGATCATTACAAAACCGAGAGCAGTTTTTTGAGACAACCGGTACCATTCGGTCATGTACACTTTTCCTCCGACTTTGGTAGTCTCTCCGATGTAACAAAGTATGAATATATTAGCAATTTATCGACCGGTAGCTGTTGTAAATTCTACGTACTTCCGACCGGTCACTCGTTCACAGATACACTTTCGGCCAAAAGTTTAGAATCACCTCACAATTTTCACCAGTGCTGGATCTGCTACCAATTTTTCATAGACCTGATATTGATATTGCGGAGATAAATAGCAATTTATCTCGTATTGATTGATTTGAATGATTCAAAATTCGTTAAAAAATTCTTAAATCTGTTGACTTTTTTCTGCGAATTTTTGTGTAACTTGCAATGCACAGTGATTCCAATCTTTTGGCCGGTAATGTACATCGGTGACACCGGCTCTGTTTAGGCTATCGCGCGGGAATATACGCGCTTTTTCTTATACCTGTAGAAATGTTAAATCAAACTTTGACCGATTAACCGTCGAAAAGCGTCGGCGACAATAGAACGATTAATAGGCTACCGGTCGGAAAAGTGTTAAAAGTCATGGACACGTATATGATGCCGTATGAAACTACCGTTTTCCTCGACTTTTCCTGAGAAGTTAAAATACATTTGTATAATGAGTTTCCCAAAAATTCAATGAAAATTTCAGTCTACCAATCCTTGTTCTTTAATAATGTGAAATTTTTTATTTTAAAAATTTAGGTGAAAGTGTGCAAAAGACAAAATCTTGGGATTAACTTAATATGAAAGTGTGCCAGAAAGTGTTACCAGTACAGTACGAGTAAATATTCGAAACGGCTATAAGCTCCAAGGATAGAGTGTGAGGAAATATTTAAAACGACTATAGGCACCAAGGGCGCAATATAAGCACATTTTCAAAGGGCACCAACAACAGTGAAAGGGTTACAATGTTTTGAGAATCATGTGGAAACGAGTATTGTATGATGAAGTAAGTGATCGTTTAGTATTTTTTCATAATGATTTTTGGTGTTATCGAGATCGAATTGAGAAGTTTTCCAGGAAAAAATACCAATCTAGTATTATGTGTTAAACTAAGTGTTCGTTTAGTACTTCTTGAGACTGGATGTTTATTGTTATGCAGATCGAATCGAGAATAATTTTACTAAAAGGAACCCGTAAAATCGACGTTTCGGCAAGAACGCCACGCGGGGTTCACACCCCTTCTGGACCGTCTCTCTCTCTCCGCCTACACCCCACTCTGCGGACCACGGGGGAGTGCTCGAGAGCCTAGGAGGGCGGCTCTATGGGGTGAAAGGCCGATGATTTGCCAATGAGGTTAACTCCCCATCTTTAGCGCTGCCTCGTCCGCGATATTCGACGTTGTCAAACCACAAATGCCGTCCAGTCCGCAATAATCGATACTGAAAATAAAGTGTGATCACCATCGCGACAACAATTAGTTGGCACATACGTGCAATAATCACCAACGCCAACCCGACCTTCCAACAATCACGAAGCGCGGGAAGCTGCGTTAACACCAAGTTTGGTCACGTCGTCTCTCAACACGATGGGACATACGCCGAAGAGGTGGAAGATCATCATCTGCAACCCACCGGACTCGAAGAGGTACGACACCATTAAGGCCGAATTGATCAAACGTTTGTCAGAGTCTTAGAAGACTGTTAGAAGCGGAAGAAATCGGCGATGCAACTCCGACGCAATTTTGGCGGCGTCTGAAAGATTTGGTGGGCTCGGCTGTCAGCGATGATTTCCTGAGAGAAATGTGGAGGAATCGCTTTTACCGACGAAAACATAGCTCGTCCTTGCCGCAACGTCTACTAAGGATGGAGCCAAGATGGCAGAAATCTCGGACCGGATCCACGAAATATCCGTTCCAGGTGAATATTCGTGTTATTGAGATCGAATTGAGTGTAATTTTACTAGAAAAAAAAAGGAACTAATAAATTATATATCTTCTTTTCTGAAACAGAAAAATGGAACTTTTTTTGTAGGTTTTCTTAATCAAGCTGTGCTACGGCTGTATTTTCACAGTGTTAAGAACTGTACAATGTTTGAAATAAGTTACAGACGATTAATCGTTACTACATTGTATTTCAGATTTCACAATTTTATCTACAAATTGTACAAAATCGAAATTCGCGGCTAGAATTGCAATTTAATCAGGACATTTGACAAAGCATATTCAAGTAGGCGAATCCTGTTTTTACTACCTGGAAATAAACAAAACGATTGACTTTCTTCTCCTCCAAGGAAGAATAAATGACGCGTAAATAGAAGGAACAAGATTAGTTTCACTTACATCGCCGAACGTGTAAAGCGACATATGGAATATTTTTCCAGCGGTGATTTCAACGACCACGTTCGATCGTGTAATGATCAGAATTAAATCGAGGATTCTTCTCTGTGGCAGATAATACCAATCTGTCATGTAAACCACTTCACCAACTTTCAAGCACTGTCAACAATTTCATGGATTAGTTCCTTGTTGGATGTATTTTTCAATCGTGCTAGAGTTTATGTTGCTAATCATTAATTAGTCTCTTGTACCTGTTCTGTCAACCTGTCGCTGATATAACAGATTAAAAATGTATTAGAAACAACAGCAACGAGTGTTACAATGTACGTGAATAACATTTGAGCATCACTCTCTGTCCATTCCTAGAAGCAAGCACACATTTATACGTTCCGAAGAAATTTTCGATATTTTTTATCATCGATGTTGTATGTAAGGAAGTTTGTACTGTTGATGTTCACGCAATTATATCACATTTAGGCATGTTTAATGATTTAACACTACTTTCGTGTAACACACGGCAGTAAGTAAGTACAGTAGTGCATATATAAGCGTCCGCATTTTTGCACACTTAAGCGTCCGTCGCTATCCCCACCAATTCTTGGAAATGGGACATCGGAGTGGAGTTCGAGCGGGCTGAGTGAAACAAAGTATTCGATATCGACACCTGAATGTGAACAACTGACACACTTGATATATCGGTATCACACTCAAACACATCTCCTCTCTTTTGTTTAGTTAAATTCGCAGGAGTCACCTCCCCACTTAAGCGTCCGCATTCGGTCCCGTCTGCGGACGCTTATGTGTGCGCTACTGTACTATGCAGAGATGAGAAAATGGTTAGGACGAGGTTTAGTTGGTGGAAACGATACAGTGAGGTCGTAAATTGAAACATTAAGTGGCGCTCAGGACGCTCGACGCCTGGTTAATAATAATTCCCGTATCGATCAAAATTAGCCTGCAGCTGCTAGACAAATTTTGGAAATATACCGTAATGGAGTAGAACCGCCCTGAGCGATGATCGAGCGTCTTATTTCCCTCGAATTGCTGTTTCGCATTTTCACGCTTGACTGATTATACGACATCGCTATATCGTTTCCACCGATCCTTTTGTTCAAATTGCCTTTGCGCGTGATATCATATGAAAAACTGAATATCTACATATAATTCTTATCTCCGTACGATCAAAATTACATCTACCATGAATATATAATATCCAATTGCGCAAATAGCCATCGTGCACCTCATTAACTCCAGGAAACACGCTTTGTTCATCATTGCCTCTAAGCGCGATATGAAGCTGTAATTAACAGAAACGATCAGAGAAAAACACCCATCAGCAAAATCAAATCCAACAAACATACTTACTTCAACACTCTCAAATGTTCCTCC